CAAGTAACTATTTCTCATAGTCAGCCTACTTGCTTATATGATGGTTGCAACTCTATCAGGTCTATGGGGACAGGCCACTTTGGGTTGGGATTTTCAGGCCGAGCTAAGGTTTCAAGAGTCTGCATCACATATAACTTACCACATCCAGGGAAAGTGCACCCCTCACTATCCAAAGCAACACAATCAAGGCACAAAAGATGCCTACATGGTGCAATCACAGGTAACCGACACCATTCCCCACACCTATATATGTGAAAGCATTTTTTGATTAGTAAAATAAAACATTGTGAAAGAGTCACATGCAAAGTGAAATAATACCTAGCACAGTTCCCACCATAAAGGAGATTATATTTTATAAACGAATACTCTTGTGACATAGGATCCAACCCATCATCAACAAGAATATCCATGGTTTCTTGAATATCTTCACCAGCTTCTGTAACTTTAATATGTCCTGCCACACAGCAAGATAGTCTGATGTTCTTGATGGTTGTACTTCGAAATTTCCATTGTTTTGGATTCAGTAAACTTTCAACATGGGAAGGATCATTCCAGTCTGCCATTAATATATTACGCCGCACCGTAACTACAAGCTCATTGTAAGTCTGAGCATGCTCTTCTGTAAAATTTAGGTATGTTACTTTCTTGATGCAAGGTGGGATCGATAGCAAATCTGCCTTTCTTGCACTGATCATACACCTACGAAGTAAGTTCAACAAAAGTAACCTTCCTTCCTCCATCTCTGCCTCAAAGGGTCTGAGAATACCAGCCTCCCATGACTTATAATTCTGACCATAGGCTTCTTCGTGAAGAAACCTAAGTAATGGTTGAAGATGTGAAAGCTGACTATTAGGTGTGTTAGGAGTTGGAGTTCCTGTTAGTATCCAGCGATTTGAAGATACCAATGAAATAGCCATTTGCAACTTGTTTGTCAAGTTAAGACTAGAGCCAAGGGTGTGCCCTTCATCTAAAATGACCCTATGCCAATGCACTTGCATTAATATACTTCTCTTCCGTGGTCCCCATTCCGCACTTAACCGACTAAATGTGGTAATAACAACATCATAATCCCATGCTAAACAATGCGCAGATGGTTTTTTATGATCAGTCCATACATAAACCATTAACTGACCAGGTCTGACATGTTTTTGGATTTGAGTCTTCCAGTGATCAACTAGATTTGATGGAACAACGATCAGGGTTGCTCTTGATAAATATAACCTAACTGAATCTAGTGGAGCACACAATGCAGATCTCAAAGCAGCAACATCAAATGCCAAGTTGTGAAGATTATGCGGATAGTACCATCTGATAGTGCCTTTTTCCATTTTCCTTACTAAACCAAATGCTTCAAATATTTGATGAAAACCTCGGGCATCACCACCAGGAACCACAGAAGATGTTAATATAGGACTTCTTAAACCAGTTCTTTCCATTTCTGAAACTTTTTCAGCGGTAAGACTAGAAAGCCAATTCAAGGCTCTCTTTGTTCCAGAATTTATCAGTGCACTGTTTTCCTTGAGCACACTGGTGAAGAACGAAATATTCTTCTCCTCTCCTCCAGAAGTTTCTTTGCTGTAGAATCCTGGAATATTAGTAATTGGACGGCATTGGTCATAAGACTCTTCTGGAACACTGCAACTTTGGTAAAAAGGATCAGTATTCATACTACAAAACCAAGCTGCACTAGCATCAGATGCAGAAATTTCTGCAAGCTTCCGCCACTTGTGACAAGCATCACACTGAACCCATGTGTCCTTATATTCAAGTTTATCTGCTGCGGTCATCCCAGGCACGTCAAACTTGCTTGTGAATCCATTAGACACATCATCTCTCTTTGTCCCAGCAGCAAACTTCCTTGTCCACGTCCTGGTTGACTTTTTACCAGTATTCGGTTCTTTGGAAAGGCTAGACATTCCTTCATATGTGAACAGAAGATTTCTCTTGACAGTACTCAAGCTTCTAGTGCATCGAACCATATGAACATCTTTTGCATAGTCTGCAGATGATGGAGACCTCAGATCATTGCCAGCACATAAATCATTAGTTGCTGTACGTCTGTCAACCAAGGCTGTCAGCCTTGCCCTTTTAGGTGTATGAAATGCTAAGTTCTCAAATCCTTTCAGAGAACTAAAATCCATAGCTTCCTTGACCAGGCAATGGTTGCTGCTAGAATTATTTTTACTGCTAACCTCATAGTAACCACATTTTCGATTGCCATTATGTGTGCACCAAATAATTTTTACTCCAGCTGGTGGTTCTGCTATTGTCCCCTGAGTCTTTAAGATAAGGGACAGAGCAGTTATTGTCTTTCCTAAGCCAGGTTCATCACAAAAAAGCCCCCCACGAAAGTCAGAGATAGCTGGGGCTCCCCCAGTCACTATTTCACCAGTAACAGTATTTATGTGGAAAGATAAACCATCTTCTGCTGAAACAGGTACATATAAAGGATGGTAAAACACTTCAACATTCCTCTCACGGTGTAACATCCATTCAACAGCTGCCTGTTGATGAGGATACAATTTTAGTTTCATGCATGGCATGATTGATGCAGCTAAGGATTTCAGATGGCGGCAAGTTGAGGCAACCCGAATAAGATCCAAGGGGCAAAGAGCTTTCAGTATATTAATTAGAATGTCATCTGATATGTCCCAAATACCTGATTGAGTATGATCATCCTCTGGTTTCATTCTTGTATGGTCAGATTTGCTCGACTTAACAATACTAGGTAAGCTCCTAAATATTTCATGAAGTTCAAAAAGCCTTTTATTTGGAGAACCTTCAGAACTAGTGTGCAATTTGCAATTGTGGACATGACATTCTGCGAGATTCCACACGCTCTTCCTAACCGTGTCTGCATCTCGCAAATAGTCTTCTCCAACAAGTATAGAGCTTCTCTCTTGCCATTCACAGCTGAAATTATATAACAATATGCTTAAAACATTTCGTATAAAACCAAATTACATTAAAAAAATAATAATAAATAAGATTGCTAAAAGAAATATAGACCTCCTCTCTCTCCATTTACAGCTGCAAATACATACCACCATAAACTTTGTGTGAAACAAAGTCCATTAAAACCAAAGCTATTAAAAGAACTAGGAGTAGTAGATCCTACTTAACAGAGGAAAAAACAAACAAATAAGAACAAATGCACAGCTACAGATTACAACTTAAACCCAATCTTGTAAAACTAAAAACAAAATCATATTTTTGAACTGTTTGGTCTCTAAAACAAATAAGGTGCCAAAACAATTATTCAAAAATAAATAAGGGACTAAACCATCAAGCACTTTCGAGCTCATATTTAAAGAGATCCTTTCATTCCTTTCCTTTCAAGAACTCAAACAGTAGGGCAATATCTATGGACCCTATCTCCTTTAAATTTAAGAACTTTTCATAATAATACCACTCATTTATAAGTACCTATGGAATTGGTTCGAGCATGAAAGAAGGTCTGGTTTCTTCATCATGTAAAGGCTACTAAGAATATTAGAGAGTGGAAGAAATTGTTTCTTTGGGTCTCAATAGAAAGGAGCCGTTGATAGAGAAGATTAATATGAAATAAAATTGTAAGAAGAATTTTTTTTTTTTTTTCTTTTACCAAATAAGAACTGTGAAGCCGGAGTAGATGGAGATGAAAGCTCGAAATAACCAAAAACTTTACTTTTTTCACCTATATCAGTATGTGCTGTCTTCTAAGCACTTATATGGCTTTGTGAAAAAGTTACAACCCATATCAGCCTTCTAAGCACTTTCAAGTAGCTATATAATGCATAAAGGTTTCTTGATTGGTAGATGAAAAAAAATGTCATTTATGTTTGGTTTTAAGTTAACATATTCTAGTTCTTTGGTAGGACAAAGATTTTTGGAACGTTAATCTGATTATTCAAAAAAAGAAACAAAAGCAGTAGCCAGTCAAAGTCCTCGCTAACAGTTACAAATAAGTTGTGTCGATGAAAGTCACTGAAAAATACTAATCCAAGTTCTAATTCAACCCCAAAAAAATTGAATAAAACTAAAGCAATCCATCACCTTAAATGCCGAAATAGCGCACCAGCAACCGTCTTAGATCTAGGAAACTGCCAACCAGACCACAATTCAATGGGAAGATGAACATCAACCAACAACACAACCCTGGCCTCCTCATAGACACCAATGTCAACGAAAATCACCTGCGCGTCAATCTTCAAACACTTATGCACTACCAGAGCGTGAATTTGATGCACAGCGCTCATACTGCCATTAACCATCCCCATCCTATTCGTCCTCTTCTTCCTCGAGGTCCTACTTCCCCTCCCAGAAACCTCCCGCTTCGGAGTAAAATCTCCCATCCCCATCGAACCAGTTCCGTCTCCGCCTACCGTCCCCCCACATTGCTCGGAATCTTGACGCGAAACGCCGCCTTTCGATAGCGGTTTGGGGTTTACCTCGATCGGAGAAAGGACGACACCGTTTTCTGAAGTGAAATAAACATCAGAACTCTCATCGGAAACATAACAACGCGTACCTGGACGTAGAGCATTCGCCAGTTCGGATTGCAGTGAAGGGACGGCCAGAACCACACAGAAGAAGCCGCAGAGCTTGTAGTCAGAGAAGTCGTGGTCGTCCATTGGAGGAGCTTGGATTGAAGTAATTCCGGAGATTAGGTGAATGAAGATTGGAGATTGCTAGAGAGTAGACCAGGGGCGTACATTGCTCGGAGCGAAAACCGCCATAAGAGCGGTTTTCAAAGCTTCTGTAACAGCCTTTTGTTTTTTTTCTTCCCTTTCCCTTTCCCTTTCCCTTTCCCTTCCCCTTCCCCTTCCCCTTCCCTGAATTTCACTGGGTATGGACGTGGGCCCGCTCTGGAAACTGGATAATAATAATATATTATTTTTTAATAAAAATAAAATATCAATGTGGAAAATATCTAATTTATTTATTTACAAATATTTATTTAATATTTAGAACTCGATTTCTATATATATTTTTTTTAAAAAAATTACCTTCTAGTTTATTTAAAAATTTTCTAATTTTTAATGGAAAATTTTGTTTATGAAATTTTATATTAGGGACAAAAGTGACAATCTCAAAATATCCCAACTTCGGCCCATTTTTGTATTGTAGCCCAATCATTAATGGCCCGTTTGTACTTCATCGAGCATCCACAGGATCGGTCGTCGACCTTTTTTCTCACCAGGTAAGTTTCTCCGTCACAATTTGATTCGTTTCTTTCTGTTCTTTGCTGCTTTTTCTTCTGTTCTGTTTCTTCTTCATCGGGCATTCACAACGATCCATCATCAACCTTTTTTCTCACCATGTAAGTTTCTCCTTCACGGTTTGATTCGTTTCTTCATGTTCTATGCTATTTTTTCTTCTGTTCTACTTCTTCTTCATCAGGCATTTACAGCGATCGATCGTCGACCTTTTCTCTCACTAGGTAAGTTTCTCTGTCACGGTTTGATTCATTTCTTCTGGTTCTTTGCTGCTTTTTCTTCTGCTCTACTTCTTCTTCAACGGGCATGACCTTTTCTCTTGTGTTTGTTGCTTTTCGTGACCTTTTCTCCTCTGCTCTAACCTGTGTTTACTGCTTTTTCATTTGTTCTACTTCTTCTTCAACGAGCGTGATATTTTCTCTTGTGTTTGCTGCTTTTTCTTCTGCTCTAACCGCTTCTCTTGTGTTTGCTACTTTTTCTTCTACTCTACCTCTTCTTCATCGGGCATGACATTTTCTCTTGTGTTTGCTGCTTTTTCTTCTGCTCTAACCTTTTCTCTTGTGTTTGCTGCTTTTTCTTCTGCTCTAACCTTTTCTCTTGTGTTTTCTGCTTTTTCTTCAGCTCTAACCTTTTCTCTTGTGTTTTCTGCTTTTTCTTCTGCTCTAACCTTTTCTCATGTTTTCTACTTTTTCTTCTACTTAACTTCTTCATCGGGCGTGACCTTTTCTCTTGACAATTTTAGTATAATTGTTTAGTATTTATTTACTTGAATAAGTTAGAGAAATTGTTACTCTTTTGTTGAGAATAATGGTTAGTAATTGTTTAACTTGAGAATAAAGTGTAGCAAACTAGTTGTGCTTTCTCCCCTATAAATACCCATGAGATGTATGTTGTTTTCACATCAACAAAAGAGAATTGAAAAGCATAAGTGCTCAAAGTTCCTTGTTCCAAAAGATCTCTCAATCTCAAGTTGTTCTTCCTGCTTCAGTTGTTCGTTTCGACATATTTCGTTTGTGGGTCATTTCCAACATTTGGTATCAAAGCTAGGATGCCGAAACAAATACCGTTGCCATACAAAGTTTCTGGAGGAGATGTGACAGCGATAACGAGCGGAAGGAAGGGGAGTGTAACGCCACAGTACCCGTTACTCACGAAGAGTAACTACGTAGCATGGTCAATAAAGATGCATGTTAACTTACAGAAGGCACAGGGCATGTGGGATGCCATCGAGCATGGTGATAAAGTTGAGGAGCGTAATGACAGGATGACTCTTGCCGCCATCTATCAAACAGTCCTAGAGGACGTTCTTCTCATGTTGGCAGAGAAGGACTCGACAAAGGCAGCATGGAAGAAGCTGCAAAATGCATGTAGGTGAGGAACGTGTTAAGGAAACAAAGGTGCAGACCTTGAAGGGCTGGTCTAGCAAGAATCCTACCAAGACCTTGAAAGATATGAAAGATCTCCCTCCAAGCCGTACATACGACTTTCAAAAATTTGATTTTTTGAGTGAGTTCGAGGCTATCCCAATGAAGGACGGTGAGTCAATAGACGACTTTGTCATGAAGTTGACGACGATCGTCAGTGACATCCATTCATTAGGCAACGTGATGGAGGGGATCTCCGTCGTCAGGAAGTTCCTTCAAGCTGTTCTCTCAAGATTCATGTAGATTGTTACTTCCATCAAGTAGTTCGGTGACCTCAAGAACATGCGGTTAAGGAAGTCGTTGATCGTCTTAAGGTCCATGAGGAGAGACTTCATGGCTACGAAGACAAAGAGGAGGAGAAATACCTCTTACTCATACATGAGGAGTGGCTCACATGGACGAAAAAGAAAGATGCAGATGACTCTTCTTCTTTAGGTACAAACGAATGTAGCAGCCATAATAAAGGAAAAAGAGGTCGTCATGACTGCGGTCATGGTGGCAAAGGTGGTCGTGACAATCCCTCACAAACTCATGAAAATGCCAACCCTCGGAAGGACAAGAGTATGATCAAGTGCTACTCTTGTAGAAAATGCGAGCATTATACGGCAGAGTGCCGCAATAAGGAGCGTGATGAGGAGGTAAACCTCATGTTCTCAGATGATGAAGAACCCACAGTGATGTTGACCGAGGAAATGCCCAATTTGTTGATGCTCAATGAAGATAAGGTTATAGCGAACCCCTTCACAGACAAAGAAGATCAAGTGGAGACCAGCATGTGGTACCTAGACAACGGAGCGAGCAACCACATGACTGGAGATCGAGCAAAGTTTAAGAAACTTGATGAAAAATTCATTGGAAACGTAAAGCTTTGCGACAGATCAATTGTACCAAACTATGGTAAAAGATCTATCTTGTTCCAGTGTAAGAATGGTGATCAACGTCTATTGACCAAGGTGTATTACATCTCGAGTTTGAAAAGCAATATTATTAGCCTTGGTCAAATGATAGAAGAAGGTAGCAGAGTGGAGATAGTCAACCCGTTCCTCAAGATATATGAACAAAACAGAACTCTGTTGATGAAGGTAAAACAATTGCGAAATCGCCTATATAAGATACTATTGAAAGGCTATCAACATCTTCAAAAAGTATCTATTGGCGTTGGCAGCAAGAAAGTGAAGAAGAAACCAACGGGTCAGGAGAAAAAGGAATCGAAAAATAAATCCAAGAAGCAACCAGAGGTTGCTTCAATTAGCAAAGTGCAACTTACAAGTCGATTAGACTTATCATCTCAACAAAGGAGACCTAGAACAAGACCATTAGAGCATAAGAGAAATGAGACTTCAAACTTGTCATCTCAACCAAAGAAACATAGAGACAGGCTTAAAAAGAAGGTTGAACACAGAGGAGTACGTAACAAGAATTTTTTACATGTAAGCCTTGATGATACATTCTCTGCGCATAAGAGGAGTGGAAGAAATTGTATGTTGCAAAATTAAAATTTCTCTTGAAGAAGACAAAGTTGATTAGGGACCAAACAAAGTTGAAACTAGAGAGCAACGTGCAGACATTCTCACCAAGAGCCTAGCAAGGGTTAAATTTGCAGACATGCAGGAGTTGCTCGGAGTGAAGAATATCAAGCAAAGTCAAGCATACGGAGGAGAATGTGAGTTAATAAGCTTGACTTAGTGTAACAACCCGAAATTTTCTACTTAATTTAAGGTCGCTATTGTATACATATCATGGACATTGAATGCAGAAATACTTCATTTAAACTTTTATAAAACATAAGCTTTAGCTTAAAACACAGTCATGGACTACCCTATGCTTGTGCCATGGTCTCAAGTTGCGATGTCATTGTCAGCCATACATGAATGTCTTGCCTTAACCTAAAAAATGTAGTAGCACATGACTTGAGTATTTAAAGAACATGGGAATGCAATGACAGGACCTATCCTTTCAATCCATTTTCCTACGATACTATCCTAACGGGTAACTTAGATGTGTACCATATACTCTACACACAGCCCATATGTGCGAGTATGGACTCACCAGTTAGTTCGCACACCGCTGGGCCACTTTCCTTGTCGGGCTAGCATACTCTGGGAGCTCCTTAGGCTAGACACCCGTTATAACTAATAACTGTCACGGCAGCATTAGGTTAAACATAATGATCGTTCTCCTACCTGACCATCGCAACATTGTGATAAATATAATAATCGTTCTCTTGCTTGGTCATCGCAGCATTATGATAACCATAGATTGGTTTTCTGCCTCGTAACTTGTGTCCGTACTATTATGAGATATCCCCCAATGCATGAGCACACAATAATGAATAAGGTCCCAACAATTTTTTTCATTTTCATTATCATTTAATACAACCCCGCTTGCGTTCCGTACATATCATATTGTTTTTCATCATTTCACATATCTTTTATCATATCATTTATCATATCTTTCATGCATACGTCGGGGTTGTATTTCATGCTAGTTCGTCGTTTTGCATGTCAATCATATCATATCATTCAAATTACATAAATATATCATATCTTAACATTATATGCTTCCAGACATAACAATTTTCATCATATACATATCATACCATAACATATCGCATCACAATATAGCATATCATAAACATGTCAATTTTCACATATTTCGTACCATAAAATATTTCATATCATATTGCAACATATATATATATATATATATCATAATCATATCATATCGTAAACATTTCATGGTCATATCGCTCCCTAACTTAGCATAGCCTTAACATTCTTATACATATCAAAGTCATATCGTTACATGAACGTACTTTAGTCATATCGTTACAGGAATGTATCCTAATGCTATCAATCTATCCATCTATCATAATCCTATCTCTTTCTACCCATAACCTAACTATATTCTTTTATCAATCGATCGTGACCAGATCATTTTATCAATCTCTCATATTCATAACACTTCGATGCGTAACCTAACCTTAATGTTTCATGAACATATCTTACTCCTATCATTACATTACGTTTAGTGCATCCTTCTCGTATCTTATCTCAAACATATCATTAAACACCTCATATCGTAAGTGTTATCATATAATTCATATATTATAACATATACATATCATATGATAAGCAGGTGATAACACGTGACAGAGAGATTTCAGAAATTTTGGAGCTCCTAACACACATAAAAGCTAGCTTGGAAAGACACGCATCATCTATGTAAGTATCCATACGAACTTTAGTCAAGTAATACTTGTAGGAGTCGCTAAGATGTGCTCACATGCAAACATTCCTTACCTTAGGTGGTTAAATAATGCATGCTAAGGACTTTGGAAATAAGTTTTTAGATGAGTATGTACTATGTATATGTTACGGTAAAATTACCGTCATGTTATACCTCTAAATTGAATATTTCGAGAACCATATTAGTTTATGTATTAAGCTAGGAATAAAATATGAACGAGTGTGGTATGCATGTTGGTTTGTGTATTAAGCAAGGCTACACATAAACTATGGTTTATTAATAAAGAGAAATATTTTTACACTCAATCAAATTACACATTTTTTTTCAAAACAATTTCAGTATAATTAATTTATGAAACTTTAATAATATAAATAAAGATTTTTATTTATTTAACTTATTTAAATAAAATAAAATAAAATAAAAAGTATAATTTTTTTTCTCTTAATTTTATCTAACTAATCTTTAAAATAATTTAGAAAAATCTAATAATATGTTTTAAAATCTCCTAAAGATTAATAATATGTTCATCCTTCTTCATCTCCCAAATGTACAAGTCTCTTCCATTCTCCGTTATTCGAGGGTGAAATATAACCATGTTTCCATTCAAAATCCTAATTGTTATACACGTCTCAAGTTCATTCGCTTTACAGTCCGGTATTGAAATTTCATCAAAAAAATTTTTACTCATGCTAAACGTTTGTATAATATTACTTCCTCTTATTTTTCTAGACAGGGGATTCAATTCCTTTCCATCTGTATCTTTTCTCAAATCATAAATTTCCACTCTAGTTGGACCAATTTCATCATATATGTGCACAAATTCTACGACCCTAACCACTTTGAAATCCCTAGATTTGGAATCGTAATTGAATCCAACAGCATTTGAGCCGGAATAATTAAATTCACAAACAGATTCAGTATAGTGAAGAATCGACAGAGGGAGTTTACGAAACTCTCTGGTCGTCACATCAAAGAGGAAAACATCTTTTATGGAGCGATATACAAACCAAGCCATGAGAATGACCACAAATCTTGGAAAATGGAGTATCTTTACCCGATAGAAAGTCTAAATCGATATAGATATAGATCGATCGAGGTGATGAGAAAACTTGAGGATAGAGTATATATGTTTACATGATCTAAAATCCCGAATGATGTGGTTGAGAAGAATAGACTTATGTTGCAAACTATCTACTCTCTCGGTCTTTCACAAGGTCAAGCTACCATTAAAGACGATGGGAAGAGATTCCAAATAATGTGTATTTTTATTAACCACATTGGCACCAAAATAATTTCCCCGATTACAAGTGCCAACCAAATCTATTTTTAACAAAATCTATTTAGTGTCATTTTTAAAAGTGTTTTTAAAAGGAAGGTAAAGTAAAAAGGAAAAATATTTAAAAACATCTTTTTAACCATGTTATAGATTCATGGGTTCACAATAAAATTATTAAATAATTATGTTAAAAATAAAAACGTTAAATTTAAATAAAAATAATATACTTTAAAATTCTTAAATATAGATATAATCTATGAATAATGAACTCAATATGTTTTTTATTCGACATTACTTAAATATATGATGACGTTAAATGATGATATGATGATGTGATGGTGCATGATAACAAAATGATGTGAGACGTATGATGATGAAATGACTTAATATGATGATGTCCATATTAAGATGATGTGCATATATTAAATGTCACAATGCGTTCGTGACGATGAATTTTCAAAGACACGACCCTAGTTAATGTTAATGATGATGAATATATGAAGGTCAATGTGTGCATGTTACTTAATGTGTGAATGGTATATATGGTTGTGTCATGAAGATGATTTAAGGATGAAAACTATAGGGATCTCATGCATTTTGTGTGTTCATATACATTTGGATACTTTCCCATTTATGATGATAAGTACGAACGCACATATTATGATGATGATAATCATGCGTCACATGACACTCGGGGTTTGCTGATGTAACGATCCTAATTTTTTTAGTTAATCTAAGGTCGTTATAGTACATATAACATGAATATTTAATGCGGAATTTCTCTATTAACTCTTTATAATAACGTCAACATTAAACTTTGCATGCTTCATTTATTACCTTGGAATAAAACTAAATGAAAATAAAACTCAACCTATATTACAGAATGAAATGAAATTCAATCTAAACTAACCTATACTACTAAATGAAAATACAATTCAACTTATACCAACTTATACTGCTAAAATTAAATGTGAATTTATCCTATGCATGTATCATAGTCTCGGGATTGCAATGCATCCGTCAGCTTTATAGGGGCGCCTTGCCTTCATTTAAAAAATGTAGCAACACGAGCCTTGAGTATTTAAAATACTCAGTATGCGACCTAAAATAGAAAGATCTAGGGACCTCATGCATTATTGTTTGCTCATGCATCGGGAGATACCTCTATTCCTTCACGATAGTATGGACGCATACACTACTAGGAGGAGAACGATCATTATGTTTGACATAATGTTGTAGTGATGGCCACTACTTCTAATGGGTGTCTGGCATCGATAGCTACCAAAGAATGCTCGCTCGACAAGAAAGAGGCCCAGAAGGCGTACGAACCGATCGGTGAGTCCATACTCGCACGTGTGAGTCGTGTATAGGAAATTAATTACACATCCAAGTTGCCCATTAGGATAGCCACAGTAAGAAAAAAAAGACTGTTATGATGGGTCCCATGCATATATTCGTATGTTCTTGCATTATCTTCAGGTTTCTTCAAACTAAGTCTATTTAATTATTATTTTTTTTGCTATTTCATTTGAAGTAAAAGTTATTAAAAAAATTATTTTTCCATTGATTAAAGAACATATGTCAATAAGACATCTATTAAATATTGACATAATTTTGAAAAATTGACTCTTTTATATTTTGGAACTAAAAAAATAACTGTGAGAAAAAAAGAAAAAAATAATCCCCAACAAAAAATAATTGTGAAGGTAAAAAACAAAAAAACCGAAATGGTAAAAGATTGAGTACCATTTTTAGTGTAATAAGAGTACGGGATGAAAGGAAGTTAAGGGACCGTCGTCATACCTAATTAATACTTATGCATGTTTAGCTAACTATTTTAACGCTATACCATCTTAAGGTGTTGTTAAATGGATGAAGTGCTATCATATACCTTTGTATCGGCTAAGTTCATGAGTTGGTGGAGATAAGCAAACTCAAACCGCTGACATCCACCACAGAGTAAACCATCGCCTCTCAGGCCCCGACTGATTCTACCATCGCGGTCGTATAATGACCCAAGTTCACTGCTAACAAATATTGTCCTCTTTAGCCTTACCATCAAGGCTTTAAAACGCGTCTTTTAGAGTTACATAGCGGAACCGATACTCCTCTCTAGATACTGTCCTTTTTGGGCTTTCCCTTTCGAGCTTCCGCTTTTGAGCTTTCCCTTATAGGCTTCCCCATTACACGTATGCTAGGGAAAGGTTTCCACACCGTCTCTATCCATTTTTAAGTCTTTTGTTTAAATATAATATTTATACTCTTGAAATTTTTAGGTCTAAATAAATAGTTTTATCAATTAAAACGGTCAACTTTAATATTTGAGCTAATTTAATTATATGATTTTCATAACATTTGCATTATAATTGGTAGTTACTTGAAATTTATTTTAAAAAGAAAAAAAATCTTTTGAGATTTGTGTATGAATATGTGTTAAGAATAGTTGACTGTTCATTATAAGGCAAATATCTAGATATTTGAGTTACATTACGACTTACCATATTTGCCCTTTTATTAAATATAAATATATTGTATTCATTTATTATTCATTTATTTTATTGTTATTTCTATATTATTTGTAATTTACCATATTTTTGTATTCGGTAAATGATTATAAATAAGATAACTCTCACCACCATTTAGTTGTGGTGGATTTAGCAAACATTTACATGGTATCAGAGCCCTTTCGGTTTAACAACCCTAATTCTTTCTTCTCTATGGCTTCCAAATCTTCTTATCATATTCTTCCTTTCAATACTCTAATCCATATGATCACCATTAAACTTTCTTCCTCTAATTATCTTCTTTGGAAAAACCAACTTCTCCCTCTCTTGAGAATCAAGACATGCTGGGCTATGTTGATGGAACTATGGTTCCACCACCTCACTTTGAACCAGAAACCTCCTCAACACTCAACCCCAAATATTTGGCATGGAGAGCAGCCGATCAACGACTTCTTTGTCTCCTGCTCTCCTCTCTCACTGAGGAAGCCATGGTTGTATCGTTGGTCTCTCTACTGCACGTGATGTTTGGCTTGCGTTGGAAACTACGTTCAGCCATCAATCGAAAGCTCGTGAACTGAGACTCAAGGATGACTTGCAGTTGATGAAACATGGCACCAAACCTGTTGCTGAGTATGCCCGTGCCTTCAAAAAAATTTGTGGCCAACTTCATGCCATTGGCAGACCTGTCGAGGACATTGATAAAGTACACTAGTTCTTTTGTGAACTCCGCACCGAATTTTCAGCTTTTTCTACTGCTCAGATGGCTCTCACCCCTATCCCCTGTTTTGCAGATTTACTCTCTAAAGCTGCAAGTTTTGAGTTGTTTCAGCGCTCCCTTGAGTTCTCTGACTTCACTCCTACAGCATTCACAGCCACTAATCGTGGTCGCACCCATGGAAGCCACCCTGCTTTCTTTAGCAACTAGCGAGGTCGTTCTTACTCTCACAAAAGCAACTCTTCTAATCGAGGACGTACTCTCACAAAAACAACTCTTCTAATCGAGGACGAACCCACTCAGGTCAAGGTCATCGACCACTGCCAAATATGTCGCAAAGAGGGTCATTATGCTGACCGCTGCAACCAACGGTATGTTCGACCTGATTCTTCTCATGCTCACCCTGCTGAATGGTTTCTGGACACTGGGGCTTCGGCCCATATGACTGTCGACCCATCTATTCTGGATCAGTCTAAAAATACACGGGTAAGGACTCTGTGATCGTAGGAAAAGGTGTATCCCTACCCATTACCCACACCGGTACTCTCTCTCCAGTTCCAAATATTCACTTATTAGATGTCTTGGTTGTCCCTCACCTCACTAAATTAACGTCTAATTTTCCTCTCTCCGTTACATTTACTAATAATCTTATTACTATCTAGAATCGTCAAACAGGAA